GTGCTTAGTACTCATCGCTACTAGGCACCATTGCGTCTAGGCCTTCTTAGTGGACAGAGCCAGGAAAGCGTGTGTGTTTTCATGCATGTGTATGTATACATGTGTGTCTACACATGTGTGCATATGTGTGACATACACACATCTATATATCTTTCTAAATATCTGAACTCCCACTGTCCATGAACTCACACTGACAACTCTTGTTTCCATCAAATAGCAGGGGTTCACTCTAGCCTTTCGCTCTCCGTATTTCTTGCTCCCTCCTGTCACCGAGAACCCTAAATTTTTCTACCATATATTTATGTTTCTTCTCAAACTAGAGCACTCTCCCAATCTTTAAAAAAACCTGCAGACTTAACCTTTAACTAAAAAAGTAAAAGAACCCAAGGAAGTCACTTTCCCAATCTAAAAGTGACTTGATTATTGCAGGAAGCTCTAGGGAGCTCTTCTAGCCAGAGTGGCCCGTCCATCAGGCGTGGCCATGACGTCGTGCCTCAGCGAAGTGAAACCTCTCCTGGCACTCAGTGTCAGTAAGAGCGGCTTCGGACTTGGAGTCCAGGTCATGCGCACTTTACGTGTAGGGGCAGTGATGCCGCGCGGATGCAGTGCTGCCTACTCTCTTCTGTGCTCCTGCGTCTCATTGAAGCGTCACATCTTTCCAGAAGGCTGGGTACCCTCAGGAGACTCGAGGCCTCTGGTCAGTGCCTGTTCTCACACCTGAGTCCCCGCGGGCGACGGAATGAGGGGCAGGTATCTAGTGTCCCTGCTCTGGGGGGGACACTCACGAGTGTCCCCTCCCAAGCAGTGTGCTGACCTCCCTCCCTCGCCTGCTTGTTGTCCCTCCTCCTTCAGCTAGGTTTGCTCAGGAAGAGCCCACATGGTGAGGGCTTGAAAATAGCTGTGGAGAAGGGCCTCCCAGCTGAGACTGCCCTCACTCGGCTGCCTGGTCGTCTGCGCCTCTCCGTGCTTATGCTGTGGCTTGCTTACTTGCAGCTGTTGGGAATGTAGTGTGTCTGCATAGACACCAGTGTGTGACACCAGTGGGTGCATGAATGCAAACTCCTGACACCAATGCTTGTGGACTGCGTGACTTTGATGCAGAACTGTCTACTGTAGTGTTGCAGTTAGCGTGGGGCCATACCCTAGAGCAGGGGTCGGCACACTTTTGAGACGGAAGAGCCAATCCTGTCCCTCATGACAATTTCAGAATTATTCGAGAGCCATAAATATATTTTTACAAATAAGGAAAATTTAAAGTAATATTATAACAAGTAACAGTTTTAATTATGTCTATTAAAATAAGAAAAATTCACACAAAAAATTGCTCACATATGGCTCGCGAGCCGCAGCTTGCCGGCCCTGCTCTAGAGGAGTCCATCAGTGAAGCTAGCAGTGGAGCTCACGGCTCTGACTGTCCAGCCTGGTCCACAGAGGGGAGGGCCCTGTCTTTTCCTTTAGTGTAGCTGTTGTTTGAGAGTTTTATAAAATATTTTCTTTTGCATTTTGAATGGTCTGAGACTGCCAGGGATTTGCACATCCTGGGATTTGATGGAGAGAATCCGCCACCCTCCCTGTGCAGCTGAGAAACCGGCTCCCATGACCCGAGTGCCGGGTCCTGTGTCGACCCCATCATTTCCCGGGTGGGTCTGCCTCCTTGGGTGCCTTTGTGGTAGGTGGGGCTCTCACGTCCTCACTGTGTTGGGGGGAGGGGTAGGTAAATAGCACGTGTGGAAGAAGCTCCAACAGATGCGACTTTCCTCCCACATGCCCCACTCAGTGTCCCCATGGCCCAGAGAGGAAGCTGTGATGTCAGGGAGTTACTTTCAAAGTCTGCCTTTTATACAGATAGTCACTGAATGAGGACGAAGGCTTTCTCCATGTATGTGTGTGTATGTGTGCACACGTGTATGTGTGCATGTACATGCATGTGAACGCATGCATTTATGTACATGGTGTGCATGTGTATGCATGTATGTATATGTATGTACAAGGTGTGACAGTTAACTTCATGAACTCATCCTAGAAAAAGTGCTACATAGCTCCTTGCTGAATATCACTATGGTCACCTTTGAAGTCCTCCCCTTGGGAAGCTATGCACCGATGCCAGCGCCTAGTCTACCCTTCAAAGTAATTTTGGAACTCTTTTTCTGGAATGGCCATCAGATCTGTCATCATATTACCCTTGATGTCCTGAATATCATCAAAATGCCTTCCTTTCAATATTTCCTTTATCTTTGGATAAAGAAAGAAGTCATTGGGGGCCAGATCAGGTGAGTAGGGAGGGTGTTCCAATACAGTGATTTGTTTACTGGCTAAAAACTCCCTCACAGACAGTGCCGTGTGAGCTGGTGCATTGTCGTGATGAGAGAGCCATGAATTGTTCGCAAAAAGTTCAGGTGGTCTAACTTTTTCATGCAGCCTTTTCAACACTTCCAAATAGTAAACTTGGTTAACTGTTTCTCGAATTGTTACAAATTCATAATGAATAATCCCTCTGATATCAAAAAAGTTTAGCAACATCGTTGCAACAAGTTCACGAACTTAACTGTCAGACTTTGTACATGCATGCATATGTACTCGTGTGCATATGAGTATGCAGGTATGTGCGCACATGTGTGTATATGTGCACACGTTATGTATTCACGTGCACGTGTGTGTGTGTGTGTGTGTGTGTGTGTGTGTGTGTGTGTGTGTAAGCAGTCTGGGGACTCGATCACCCCACAGAGCCTCTTCCATTCCTCAGTGCCTATCTGTTGGAACAGGGCTGTCAGCCAGCGGCTGCCCTGCTTTCCATGGCAGAGAGTGACTCAGCACAGAGCCTGGCCTTGGTAGCTTTCGTTCCAGCAACTACGTGAATACCAGTGATAGAAACTAGCGGTGCCCCGAGGTGCAGCAGGAGATGCACCTCTCCAGCAGGAGGGCGAGCGAGCTGGTGTGACCCCTGGGTCCAACATGCTCTGTGTCAGTGGCAAGTGCCAGGTCGAGCTTTGGAGTCCTTCCTTTAGGCGCCTGTCTTCACGTGGCACCTGCTTTGCATTAGGCTGTGCTGGCTATTGGGGACGCAGCAGGACGGGGCCCTCGGCCTTTAAGGAACGTGTAGTGGAAATAAACCACTGAGACACCTCAGGGCTGAGTACAGGTGTGTGTGGGGGGCCTAGGAGAGACATATCCCTGGGTGGGGGTGAGCCCCTGGGAAGACCTTGGGGAAGGTGGTGTGGTTGACAGCTCGTGGTCAGCAGGTGGCCATGCACAGAGAAGGCCAGAGCATTGGGGCAGGATGACCAGGCTGGGTGAGAAGGCGGCCTGCTGGAGCAACGACAGGTGGCCATCCTCTGTGTCCACACTTGGAGTGGGGGAGGGGTGGGAGTGGTAGCTGCTGTGGGAGGGCGGGGTTGATGGTGGGACTTGATCTGCAAGGGCAGCTTGGACCAGATTTGCACTTTGGAAAGGTAGAGGATGGAGGAAGGCAGGCAAGGCTAGGCGCGCACGAGCTCCTGTCGTGATCAAGGTGTGGGCGATGGCGGGGGCCAGGCAGGTGTGGGCACGGGGAGGAGGGCCAGGGCTTGGTCAGGGCCAAGACCATTAGGAGATACTTGGTGGCAGGTCTGCAGAGGTTTTGAGGCCTCTGTCTCAAGATTGGGGGTTCATGGGGCAGAGAGAACAACGTCATGACGACTGTATTTGAGCTCCTTGCCAGCACTGGGGTTGCTGAGTCCCAGTGTCCCATGGTGGGGCAAAGGTGTAATGGCCACTGTAAGGAGAAGACGTCTTCAGACTGAAAGACGAAGCAGGCAAGTCCACGGAATATGACAGAATTTAGTACTGACTAATTTACCTACAGGAGGACCCGCCGGAGCAGACCCACCAGCTGCGCACAAATTATTCCCTGCTCAAGACTCCTGTTACTGTACTGTTTTTGTCATATGACTTAGACACTAACGATTGACAAGGCAAAGGACGAAGAATGCAGTAGCAGCAGGGGCCATGCCTCCTGGTGGCCTGACCACTACCACCAGTAGAGTATTCATCTCGGCCGTCATCCCACCATTACTGACAGAAGTAGTTAGCTTACGTTTTAGGGAACAGAGATCATCATTTGATGTCCTTACTAAGGCCAGTGAGGTTGGTCAAAGTCACAGCAGGAAAGGACATGGAGATGGCGTGGTTTTGTTCACACCTACATCTGTACGCCCGTTCTCTCCCGCCCCGCCTGGTTACCTGCTGTCCCATTGGTCAGGCGCTCCCCTCCGCTTCCGTGGCTGGGCTCAGCTCTTCCTCCTGCACCCTCAGCTGCCTAAACACGGCTGACGCCCCTCCTCTGTCCCACCCACCCGGCGTGGGTGGCATCACTTGTTCTTCCTACTGTCGTCCCGCTGGCTGCCCCTCATTCTGTGTCGGTCCCTGTCCTGCCAGCCTTCTTGCGTGGCCCATCTCCTCTCTCTTCCTGGGTGGTCCCCCCAGTCTGGTGGCTTTGCCTACTGCCTTAGGGCCCTGGGGCTGCAGTAACCAAGTCCCACTAAGTGGGTGGACAGAAACAACAGGAACGGATTCTCGCAGCTCCCGGCTGCCAGAACCCAACACCAAGGTGTGGGGGCCATGCTCCCCTGAAGGCTCCAGCTTTCCACCACCTGTTGGCTCCGGGTGTCGCTCCAATCTGCCTGATTCCCAGCCGTCCCCTCTGTCTCAGACCTTCCTCTCCCCGCTCTGGAAGGAGCCCAGTCATGGGGTCTAGGGCCACCCTCAATCCAGGAAGACCTCATCCTGCGATCCTTAATAATTACGCCTGTTAAGACCCTGCTCCAGATAAGGTCCCATTCGCGGGACTGGGGTTAGGACTTGGGCATATCTTGGCGACACAGTTCGACCCTCTATGTGTACTAACCATGCCTCGTGATTACTGAGTGTGTTGTTCTGGCCCAGACTCATTTGTTGAGAACGTCCTCTTGGCCTTGGGAGAAGCTCTGAAACCCAAAACGTCCTGACTTGCTTTCTCCTTCCAGGCCACAGGACGGGCCCCTCATTGTCTGCTCGGCGCCGGGACATGTGGCTCTGCTCTGCCAGTGAATCAGGTGGGAACCCTGACCCCACCCCTGACCCCACTCTCTCACGCGCCCCAGGCCATCTGCAAATCCCCTTGTCCACATGACCCCCTGCCTCTGCGTGTCCCCCAGTCACACAGTCGGCCCTTCCCACGGTCACAGGGACCCTCCTAAGGCATGCGCCATGTCACCCTTCTTCTGCGTACACCTCAGGAACACCCCCAGTGAGAGTCTGTGTGGCCAGTCCCGTGTTCCCCGTACCCCACCTCACCCTACCCTCCTCCTCCGCCCCCCTGCTCAGCCACGTGGCTGGCCCTGCTGGGCCTCCTGCGCCCCACCCCACCCCCTCGCTGTCACAGGCAGCTCGCTCCTTCCCTGTCCCATGTCTCCCTGAGTCATCCTCTGTCCCCGCTTGGTTCCCTCCTTTCATCACCTCCTGACATTTACCTGTGTGTGTGTTGACAGGTAAACAAGCCATGGTTCCCATCTTTGTATTATTACGTGGACACGTTAGAAGGGTGCCTATTCCGCCCCCTGGGCACACCTCTGTCATTCCTACTGGAGGCCCAGTCTCGCTGTCTCAGCAGTCCTTGGGTCACATCCTTGAGGTCTCAGTGCTGGGGACAGCTTGTCACAGAGCAGGGGAGCCTGTCACCCACTGGCCTCCCTCTTTTTTATGGTCCACTCCTCCTGGCATGTCTGCCTGGAAAGAAGGCTGCCTCCCCCAACCCCCCCAAAACAGTGTCCTGCACATGTGGACACGTATTAGACAGTTGTTGGGTGAGTGAATGAATAAATCCAAACATCTGGAAAATGTGACAGCAAGTCAGGGCCGCGCACAAGAACAAACCCGTATCCGCCGAGTAAGTGGGGTGATGCCGAGTGGAATTTGGTTTATCACACATGTTAGGATGAGTTCTTCTCTCCATGTAAAAATACGTATTTTAAAAGTTATATGGAGCTGGGGGTTAGGGGGCCAAAAACTGCACTGCAATTATTAACTCATGCTTTTCTGCTTTTGTTTTCCAGACGCCATTTGCTTTTGAGTCAAGATGATTTGATGCTTTCTAATAAAACTCATTAACCATGATGGCTACACAGACATTAAGCATAGACAGCTATCAAGATGGGCAACAAGTGAGAGCTGGAGTTTGTTCTGCTTTGATCGCCGTCCGTCGGCCTGGTGCTCGTACAGTAGTAATTCCGTTCCGTGAGGTTGCAGGTGGTCTCAGTGCATTGTGCTAAGCTACCCACTGTGTGTTGGTGCACTCAGAAGGCTCAGCTGCAGAGTTGTTCACATTAGTCCCTAAGTGATGCCTAGATGGCTAGTGGTTTTGCCTCCCCCAAATCATATTTTCTGGGGAATTTCCCATTTTACTGTCAGCGTTAGCAAGTAGCGTTGGTTTTAGGGAAAAGCTGGCCGTGTTGGTCACCGAGTCCCATGCTGACAGTTGCTCCCTGAGCGGGAATCACGTGGTTTCATATCCCTGGGCGTGAGTGGAAGGGGCTGTCCCGGTGTGTGTGTGGCTTAGTGGCAGTGCTGTCGGTACCTTCCCCCACTCGCGCCCATGGCTGTGCCTGAACGGCTCTCTGACAGGGTGGGCGGCTTCCTGATTGCCCCTGCTGTCCCTGAGACCTGGTTTTCCTTTGGGCTCCGTCTAAAGCCCGGCGTTCTGTGTTTCTGTGACCTGCAGGTGATGAGATGGGAAGGGGCTGGAGGAGCTCAGCTGAGGCCTGGGACACCTGAGGTCGTAGGAGGGCCCTGTGTGCTCCCAATGGGTCAGTCCCCCTCTTTCTCTGGAGCCCAGGAGCTGAGTTCCACGGCAGCCGGCCTTCGCTTCCCACCGACCGTGTAGGCAGGAGGCAGGAACGTGATTCCGGCGCCCCCTTCTCTCCCTACGTCCACCCATCGAGCCAGGGCAGGGTAGGCCGGTGAGGCTCCGGGTGGGGGGCTAGGACCTGAGGCTGTGCCCGCCCCTTACTGACCTCTGCCTCCTCGGTGACCAGTTTTGCACCATTTCTGGTTTGGTTGCTGTTACAGAGATTTTGTTTGTTTTTGTAGGTTTTTTAAAAAGCTTTAAGTGTTTTTCACTTCTTATAGGAATTGAGGTGGGGGTTCTGTTTTAGCCTGCTCTCTTCGCCTGGAAGACCTGTGGTGTTTCCAAGTGATTTTATTTCTACACACAAATCTGCTGATGCCCCCGTGTCTTCCCCTGCTGAGACCTGCCCAGAGAGCCCCCACATTGCCTGGCCCCCAGCTCCCCTGGGCCTACCCGCAGCCCCTCTTGTGCACTCACCGTAGTGTGTCCCACTCCTGGGCACCTCTGCCCGTGGCCTTGGCCTTCACTCTTCTTCCCATGGGCAGTAGCTTGCCCAGCTCCCTCCTGTCCTCACGCCTTTGCATAAATGACCCCTTTTTGCAAAGACAGCCCCCGCCCCCCCTGCAGCCTCCTCTCAGCTTTTCTCCTTCCCAGCAGGGACCACCTTCTGACATATTCTGTTGAGTGATGGTCTTCTGTGCCTCCCCATCTGTCCTCCTCCCTGTCCGAGGGGCCAGAGCAGGGCCCACACGGGTGGGGGTGAGGGTGGAATGCCTCGCTTTTCATAACTAAGTGCTTCCTGCCACTGGAACACTCTCTGTGAACATTATTTTAATAAGCATTTAATGTTATTCAGTATAGAGATACCAAATTTACAGCCATTTCTCCAAGGTTGAACATTTGTTTCCCTTTGTTTTTTAATAATCATTTAAAAAAAAACACCCTGAAATAATTCTTTTAAGGCTTTTTTTATAATACTGTCAGATTTCCTTCCAGAAAGATTGTGTTAGTTAGTTAGTTGCTTTGTGTTTTGTTTTGTTTAGAGCAGGAGAAAAACAATTTCCCAGGCACACTGTGCCATGTAAAGGCAGCAGAATGGAAGTGACCTTGTCGCTCTGGCCTTTTGGAGAGAGGACACAGCCAGAGCCTGGGCCTGCAGGACTGCTGCCTCAGCCTCCCACAGCCCTGGGTGTCAGCGTGGGGTTCATGGCAGGGTCACAGCAGGTTCTCCTATCGCCTGGAGACCCCTCCACCCCACCCTACCCTGCTCACCCACCAGGCTGCTTCCTCAGGGGCAGAGGCATGGCAGCTGGGAGCGGCAGGTGGGGGGTAATCTGCTCGTGGGTAATTACAAGTTTATTGCAGCAATTTTTTTTTTCCTGGTAAACTGAATTCTTTATCTTTAAGGATTTAAATACTTTTACCTAACTTACAAATAACACAGCTAGTTTAAAGCAATTTAAATGATAACATCTCAAAGACTCCCTTTTATGTTTAGTACTGTTTCTTTAAACACAGCTGGTCTTTGCTTTCTTAATACAGTGACTTAAACAAGCTTTCTGGCTTATGTATTCCTGAAGTGTAAGGTGGACAGGGGAGAATCTCAGCCCTGTCACACACGTGGCATATTGGGTCTGAGTGGTCTGTGACAAGGTAAGACGGGCTTGGCTGCTCACTTATCCTTGTCTTATTGTAACGCTATCGGTGTGGGGTGGTATAGCAGGTAGGGACAGGCAGCAAGATTGCGTATGTCTCGGTGCCCTTCAGTAGTGTATTGTATGATTTTGAAAATCATAAGCATTTCACAGTTATCAATCCTCGTCGTGTTTAAACGGTTTAGAAATTTGTTCTTTGTTTGAGCCATTTCATAAACATTAAATGCAAAGGAGTTTGTGGATGGCATTTGTTTGTCCTGTTGCCAGTCATGTAGATGGCAGTTTACCACTCATTCCTGTTTGAGAATGGGGTACTTAGTAGCACTGTGTTTCCTGTTTAGTAACAAATTCCCCTCCTCCGTTCACAGATGCAAGTAGTAACAGAGTTAAAAACCGAGCAAGACCCCAACTGCTCTGAACCGGATGTGGAAGGAGTGAGCCCTCCGCCTGTGGGGTCCCAGACGCCCATGGATGCTGACAAGCAGGCCATTTATAGGTAACTGAGACGCGAAGCCTGGGGGCTTAAGAGGACGAGCAGGAGCAGACAGCCTTGTTAGATGGGCGCTAGAGCTGTTAGCTAGGCTGCGTGCTAAGGTGTCATGTGGCAGCGACTGGGCTGAAGAGTGTCCCAGAGCACGATGTTACTCCTAATAGCTTTTTTAAAAAGCTTCGGAATATATATCTATATTTTAGTCGACCTTACAAAAAATGGTCTTCAGGCCCAGACGGTTTTACTGGAGAATTCTACCAAAATTATAAAGAAGCAAAAAGCAGCAAGTCTACAACCTCTTACAGAAGAGAGAAGATGAGGGGATGCTTCCCAGCTCATTGCACAAACTGAGCGTCACGGACACCAAAGCCGTACAGGCAAAAGGACGGATAACTATCCCTCATCAATTTAGACATGAAAATATTAGCAAATCGAATCCAACAACAGAAAATAATAGGAAAATACGGGGTTTATCCCAGGAATGCAAGACTTGTTCACTCTTCAGAGCTCAATCAGTGAGCGCCACAGTGAGGTCATATCAAGTGATGCAGAAAAGCACTGGACACAGTCATCAGCCATTTATGACTCAAACCTGTCAGCGACGGGGAACTTTCTTAACCTGATGAAGAGCAACTATGAAAACCTACAGCTCACCTCATAGCTGATGGCAACACACTGAATGCTTCCCCTACGACTGGGAATCAGGTGGAGATGCCCACTCGGCATCCTCCTCCTGTTCAGCCCTGCCGTGGAGATACAAGCCAGTCCCGTAAGGCAAGAAAAAGAAGAGGCATCCCCGATGAGGAAGGAGGAAACAGAACTGGCTCTATGTACTGAAGTCACGATTGTATACATAGAAAATCCCAGCATCTACCAGAAAACTTCCAGGGCTAAATAAGTGAGTTTAATAAGGTCACAGGTTACAAGTGCAACACACAGAAACAAATCCTCTTTCTATACCAGTAACATACAATTGGAAACCAAAATTAAAAAGAAAAGACATTTATAAGAGCTCCAAAAACAATGTAGGTGTAAACCTAACAAAACACGTGCAGAACCTTTATGTTGGAAACTATAAAATGCTGCTGCAAGCAATGACAGCAGCCCTAAATAAATGGCGGGGTGTGTCATGTTCATGGATTGGCAGACTCAACATAGTGAAGACGTCAGTTCTCCTACAGTCCTTCCGTATAGACTTAACGTGATTCCACGTTTAGCAGGATATGTTTGTACATTTAGACAAGTCAATTCTAAATTTTGTATGGAAATCAAAAGAGCTAGATCAGCTAAAACAATTTTGAAAGAATAAAGTTGGAGGAATCATCCTATTTGATTTTAAGAATTGCTATCTTACAGTAATTAAGACATTATGATATTATTAAAGGGTCAGACACATAGATCAATGCTACAGATAGAGCCCAGAAATAAATCTACATGAATGTGATTCATTTGACCTTTGGCAAAGGTGCAGAAACACTTCAGTGGAAAAAAGGTAGACCTTCTGACAAATGGCACTTGTCAGACATCCACAGGCAGAAGAAAGAGTCTCGCCTACTCACATTTTATACAAAAATTTACTCAAAATGTATTGTAGACCTAAATGTAAAATTTAAAACTGTAAAACTGATATATCCATACAATGGAATATTATTCTGTCGTAAAAAGGAGTGAGGTACCGACAATTACTGCAGCGTCGATGCCCCTTGGAAACATCATGCTGCGTGAAAGAAGCCAGACACAAAAGGCCACGTGTTGTCTGACTTCTGTGTAGATGAAATGTCCATTCTAACAGCAAAACTATAGAGACAGAAAGTAGATTCGTGGTGGCCTAGGGCTGGGGCTTGGGGCTAAAATGGAGAGTGACTGCTAATGGGCACCTGCTTTCTTTTGGGGTGATCGACAGTATTCTAAAATTGCCTGGTGATGGTTGCACAACTCTGTGGATGTACTAAAAACCATTGACTTGTACACTTTGAGTGGATGAATTATATGTATGTGAGTTATAGTTCAACAAATAACCACACATTCACACATACCAAAACATTCTCAGGCAAATGCAGAACGTACATGGTTTTCATTTTTCTTTTCCCCAGGCATCCACTATTTCCATTATTAGCCTTGTTGTTTGAAAAATGTGAACAGTCCACGCAGGGCTCGGAAGGCACAACTTCTGCCAGTTTCGATGTGGACATTGAAACTTTTGTAAGGAAGCAAGAGAAGGAAGGAAAACCCTTCTTTTGTGAAGACCCAGAAACTGACAACTTAGTGAGTAGAATAAATGTTTTGTTTTTATTTTTTATTTCTTCTGAACTTAAATTCTGTTCAACAAATTTTAAACTTCCAATTAGAACTGTAGACCATTTGTAGGCTTGCCGAAGGGGAGAAACGTCCAGTTTATGAACTCACTTCCTGTATCATGTGATGAATGTCGTCCGGCCTCCTCTAGCTGCCCTGCGCTGTGATAACCCGAGAAGCTGGTTTGAGCCTGCGTCCAGGTGGACGGGGCTCACCTCTCGCCTAAACGTTGGTGCAGGCGGCTTAGGGTTGGCATGCTCACCTGCCTTCCTTCTCAGGCGGCACGTCTGTGCCCAGCTTTGCCCATGGCTTTTCCCTGATCGTGGACTCACACAACTCTATTCTCCAGGACAGCTCTATCTGGAGGCTCAAACTGAGCTCAAACTGATGTGTGGTGGGTGACAAGCTTATGAGACTTGGGGAGGCCATGGGCACACCGCAAGGACAGGCGTACTGAAGCCCCCTGCCTCCTTGGTCTTGCTCTGAGCACCATCTTCCCGGTCCTGGGCTCTAAAACTCAGGTTCTCTGTGGAGTCACCGTCACTGCTGAACTCCCTGGAGCAGTGCGTCTCCGTCCCTTGGAGCACTGTCAGCCAGGGGACGCACCTGCACTGGGTTCCTGTCAGAGCTTCCAAACCTAGCCCCCAGCAGGGCCGTATCAGCAGGCAGGGGTCTTGGGACCCTTCCTGAATAGATTGCCCAGGTCTTACGTATTTTTAAAAAATTTCTTATTACATATTCAGCCCTTACAGGTTTTATAGGTGGGTTGTCTAACTTGGAGCCTGTTTCCTCGTCTTTGAAACGGGGCTCACAGTGCCCACCCCTTTGGGCTGAGGACCAGAAGCTCTCTGCCATCCGCGAGTGGGGAGTGGGAGCGGCCACAGTGGTCCAGGCTGTCAGGGCCAAGGCTCTCCTGGCCGCCATGACAGTGCAGGGCTTGTGACAGCAGAGCCTGATGCTCGGGAGTCCTTGTCATCGGTGGTTCATCCCACAGGTTCTTGGGAATTGCCACGCCAAGGTCATGGGTAGGAGCTGAGTTTTGAGCTGTAGAGTCACAGGCAGGTTATCACGGCCAGTTACCTACTGCTGTGGGACAGAGTACCCCCAGACTCAGTGACTTAATGTAAAATTATAAAACTTAGGAAAGTCATAGGAAAATCTTTAGTATCTAGGATTAGGCAAAGAGTTCTTAGACTTGACAGCAAAAGCACAATCCGTAAAAGGCAGAGTTGATAAGTTGAACTTGATCAAAGATCGTGAGGTGGGTACAGATCTATCCTCGTCATGGAGGAAGAAATAGGAGCATAGGGAGGACTAGGGACACCGCCACCCAGCAAGCCAGTGGGGCTGGCGGAGGCCCGGCTGGTCCTGGCGCGGGACTCGCTGAGGTCGGCACTGGGACTGTCCCTCTTGCCCGCACACCAGATGGAGCCGAAATGCCAGAGCACAGGTCAGGGGGGCTGGAATGATGTGCTATTTTGTGTGACACTCCTGTTACTGGCAGCACAGAGGGCGCTGGCTGTGCAGTGTTCAGGTTGATAACAGAATCATTCTGTGGTGATTATTCTAACCTAACATGATGCTGCCTTTCTCTTGTCTGAAAGTCTTCGTTTTCTCTGCTTCTAGATGGTAAAAGCAATCCAGGTTTTGCGTATTCATCTTCTTGAGCTGGAAAAGGTTAATGAACTCTGCAAAGACTTCTGCAGCCGATACATTGCTTGTCTAAAAACGAAAATGAACAGTGAGACTCTCCTGAGTGGAGACCCTGGAAGCCCGTACTCCCCTGTCCAGTCCCAGGTACTTCTGTTTGGGTCCTGCTCTACTTCCTGGTCATTGGAACACCTGCGAGGGCAGAATGTGTTGATTCCCAAGGCCCCAGCCTGTTCAGCAGCGTCGTGGGGCTGCCTTCATGGCTGACCTGATCAAGGGTCCTGCAGATCTCTGCCCTTGGCCTGGGCTGGGAGAGGTTCCCGACAGACAGACAGCCACCCTGGCTTCGTGCACTGAATGCAGCAAGGCCCTGATCTGTGTCCTGGACCCCGGGTGCCATGTTCCTGGAGGATGAGTTCCAGCTATTTTTCCTTTTTTTCTTTTTTAACATATATTTTTAAAAATTGTGGTATATGCACATATCATAAACTTTACCATCCTAACCATTTTTTAAGTGCACTGTTCAGTTGTTGTAAGCACATTCACACTGTTGTGCAGCCATCACCACCATCTATTCCTGGAACTTTTCCATCTTCCCACATTGAAACATTGTACCCGCTAAACACTGGCTCCCCATTCTCCCCTCCCCCAGCCCCTGGCACCATCATCCACTGTCTGTCTCTGTGGATTTGGTGCGTAGAGACCATATCTGAGGGCACCATACCATGTCCTTTTGTGTTTGTCTCGTTTCACTCAGTGTAATGTCCTCAGGGTCCTTTATGTTGAAGCACTATTATATTTTAGCCGTTCTGATCGTGCGCGGTGACATTTCGTGGTGGGTGTAATTCACCTCTCCCTGATGGCTAATGCTGTTTGCCCATCTTTTCATGGGCTTTTTTGCCAACTGTACATCCTCTTTGATAGAATGTCTGCTCGTGTCTTTTGCCCATTTTCTAATTACTATCTTCTCCCATTCAGTAGGTTGTCTTTTCATTGTTTCGACGGTTTCCTTCGCTGTGCAAACTCTTTTTAGTTTGATGTAGTCCCGTTTGTTTATTTTTTCTTCTGTTTCCCTTGCCTGAGGAGGCATATCCAAAAAGACACTGCTAAAAGTGATGCCAGAGAGTTTGCTGCCTATGTTTTCTTTTAGGGGTTTTAGGATTTCGGGTCTTACATTTAAGTCCTTAATCCATTTTGAGTTTATTTTTGTAGATGGAGTAAGAAGGTGGTCCAGTTTCATCTTTTTGCATTATCTGTCCAGTTTTCTCAGCACCATTTAATGAAGACACACTCTATACCCTGCTGTTTTTCCTTGTTGTATATTAAGGGTTCATATCAGCAAGGATTTATTTCTGGACTCTAGTCAACATTTTTTAATATTGACAATCCTGTTTATCAGCTTTTCCTTTGATGAGTGGTGCTTTCAGTGTCAAGTCTAAGAGCTCTGCCTAGCTCTAGGTCCCAAAGCTTTTCTAATTTTTTTCCCGAAAGTTTTATGTTTTACATTTAAATCCATGGCCCATTTTGAGTTAACTTTTGTATAAAGTGCAAGGGTTCACTTGTGTGTCTCTGGATGGCCAACTGCTCCAGCACCATGTGTAAGAAAGCCTGTCCTTCCGTTAAACTGCTTTCACACCTTTGTCACAGGTCAGTTGGGCATATTTATAGGGTCTATTTTTGTGACCTTTGTTCTGTTCCATTGATCTATGTATCTGTACCATATAGTCTTGATTACTGTAGCTGTATAATAAATCACAAAATTGGATGGCCTGATTCCTCTACCTTGATTCTGTTTAAAAATATTTTAGCTATTTCTAGTTTCTTTGCCTTTTCTATAACTTTTAGAATAATCTTGTCTCTTTCTACAACAAATGTTACTGAGATTTTGGTAGGAATTGCATTCAACCTATATATCATTTTGGGGAGACTTGCCATCTTTACTATGTTAATTCTTTCAGTTCACAAACATGGTGTGTCTCCCCATTTATTTATTCTATGGTTTCTTTCATCAGAGTTTTATAGTTTTCAGCATATAAGTTCTACACATGTGTTTTTAGCATCATACCCAAGTATTTCATTTTTTTGAGCAATTGTAAATGGTATTAACTTTGCCAGTATATAGAAACACACTTGATTTTTTAATGGTTTTCTTGTATCTTATGACCTTGCTGAACTCACTTATTGGGTCTAGGAGGCCCTTTTTATAGATTCTTTAGGATTTTCTACCTCTTCAATCATGTCATCTGCAAATAGGGACAGTTCTAGTTTTTCCTTTCTGATCTTGTATGCTTTTTATTTCCTTTTCTTGCCTTACTGCATTAGCTAGAACATCCAGTACTATCCTGAATAGAATTGGTGACAGCAGGCATCCTTTGCTTTTTCCCAGTCTTATGGGGAAAGTATTTAGTGTTCACTATTAATTTTAATTTTAATGGTAGTTTTTTTTCTAGATTCCCTTTATCAAGGTGAAGTTCCCTCTATTCTTATTTTCTGAGAGTTTTTATTATGTTAAATTTTCTCATGCATTCCCTGCATGGATTGATATGATTATGTAATCTTTCTTCTTTTGCCTGTTAGTAAGTTAGATTATGTTACTTGATTTTTTTTTAAAGGCTTTTTATTGGGGAATTGGGGAGAGGGGAACAGCGCTGGGGAATCGGGGGGAGGGGAACAGACAAGTTGCTGTCTTTTTGTTCTTCAGTCTAGTTGTGGAGGATGTCGCTTCACTGGCCCACGTTGGTATTAGCATTGCGCTCTTCCCAGGTGAGGCAGATCGGTTGCCGGCCTCTGGACAGCTGCTCACAGCGGCTCTTGGCAGCTCACACCAGCTGCCGGCTGCTCATGCTAGCTGCCGGCCACACACGTAGCTTATGGCAGCCCACTGCAGCAGGGGCTGCAGCCTATGCCGTTGCTGGTGACTCACGGCAGCCCAGCTCCAGGTCGAGCTGTTGTTCAGCATCTTAGCTGTAAAGGGCGCAGCATCACTGGCCCTCATGTGGGATCCGAACCGGGGCCCTGCTGCTCAGAGCTGGTGTCCCAAGCCAGCTCTTAACCAACGCGCCACTCGGCCTGCCCTACTTGATTTTTTTTAATATTGACCAATCTTTGCATTCCTGGAATAAACTCTGCTTGGTCACGACACATAATTTTTTTGGTATGAATTCCTGAATTATGTTTGGTAATATTTTGTTAATATATTTTCTGGAATGATCTTTGTCTAGGTTTGATGTTGAGATAATACAAGCTTCAGGGCCGGCTGAGTGGCTCAGTTGGTTAAGAGCTCGCTCAAGAGTGAGCTCTGAGCAACAGCTGTTCGAGTCCCAGCCCGAGCTGAGCTGCCACTGCTGCCAACAGGTGGCAGGATGGCTCAGCTAAAAAAAAAAAAATACAAGTGTCAAAAACCGATTTGGAGAATATTCCCTCCTCTCCCATTTTCTGGGAGAGATGATCAGAATTGATATTAATTTCCCTCTAACTGTTTGATAGACTTCTCCAGTGACACTACCTCGACCTGGAGATTTCTTTTTTGGAGGTTTCTAAATTATGAATTCAGTTTTCTTAATAGTTATAGGGCTATTCATATTATCTGCTTCATGTTGGATTTTATCTACAATGTCAAATTTAAGTGTGTCGAGTTGTTCCACCTTTTGATGTCTGTGGGGTCTGTAGGATCTCTCCTATTTCATTCCTGATATTGGTAGTTTGTCTTCTCTCTTCTGTTAGTCTTGCTGAGGTTTGTCAATGGATTGATCTTTTCAAAGAACGCTGCTCTTTTTTCATTGATTTTTTTCTGTTGTTTTTCTACTTTCAATTTCATTGTTATCTGCTTTGATCTTTATTATTTCCTTCCTTTTGCTTGCTTTGATTTTATCTTGTTCCTCTTTTTTTAGGTTCTTGATATGGGGGCTTGGGTTATTAATTTGGTTGGCTTAGCTTTTATTTTGACCCAGTTGATGTGGCAGACTTTATGTGTGCCACGCTTACACATCCATATTGTAAGCTCAGCACTAGCCCACATAGTCGCCTGTGGGTGATACCCACTTACACTATTTAACTGCTCAAGTATCTGGGTGCCTGCCTGTGCCAGACCCTGTGCTAGATTCCAGGTGCAGAGATCCCTTCCCTTGCCAACTGCCAAGCCACCCATCACAGTCAGTGGGTGAATTCACCCATTTGATCTAACTTCCAATGAGTAGAATCTTTGACGTGGTGTTTACAAGCATTTGCATAGAGCGTGCTGCAGACCAGGCCCAGCCCCAGCACTCCACTCACATGGGCACACAGGGGGTGGGGCTCAGATGGGCACCGTGCTACGGTAAGGGCAGTACGGAGCTATGCGGGCGCGGGGCTGACTCTACACCGCTCAAAGCCTCCCCAGCCTGTGGCATAATCTTCTGAAAATGTTCATCCTGTCCAGGAGGCTTTGGTTCTTGGAAAAGCAAGAGCCTGAGCCACACCGAATGGAAAGGCGTGTGATTAGATTAGGTAACTCTGGTCCCCTAGTCATACCTCCGGGACCTTAAGGTGCGGTTAACATGTCATGAGATGACAGGTAGTATGTTGGAAGCCAAACTGCAGCTAATATCTCAGTGCTGATCATCATGTTTTTTTTTTTTTTTTTGAGGGCAGTGTAACTGGCCCTCATATGTGGGATCCGAACCGGGGCCCTCTGGCATCCCAAGCCAGTTCTTAACCATCGCACCACTCGGCTGGCCCGTGATCATCATGTTTAATCTTCAGCCAGCTTTGCATCTTGGCTTCCAGATGCGAAAAGCGCGCTTTGTGGAAGACCTGTCACCTCGCTGAGCTCTTCGCCTCGAGCGTCTTTCCTTTACGATGACGCCCTTACGCCCCTTGCTTTGGAGTTTTAAACACGGCGTTCTGTTGTGTGTTTTTTTAAAGATTTTTATTGGGGAATTGGGGGATGGGAACGCGCTGGGGAATTGGGGGAAGGGGAACAGACAAGTTGCTGTCCTTTTGTTCTTCAGTCTAGTTGTGGAGGACGTTGCTTCACTGGCCCAAGCTGGCACCATCATTGCTCTCTTCCCGGGCGAGGCAGATTAGTCGCCGGCTTCTGGATGGCCGCTCACTGCGGCTGCTGGCCGCTCACGGTAGCTGCTGGCTACACATGGTAGCCCATGGCAACCCACTGCCACAGGGACTGCAGCCTACGCCGTCGCCGGTGACTCACGGCAGCCCAGCTCTAGGTTGAGCTGTTGTTCAGCATCTTAGCTGTGGAGGGCAGTGTCACTGGCCCTCATATGTGGGATCCGAACCGGGGTCCTCTGGCATCCCAAGCCAGCTCTTAACCAACACGCCACTCGGTCGGCCTCTGCGTTCTGTTTTCTAATGATCCCTCCCTGTGTGTTTCTGACCTGCAGCAGATTCAAAGTGCCATTGCAGGCACGCTCAGCCCCCAGGGGATCGTGGTGCCAGCTTCCGCACTGCAACAGGGAAACGTGACCATGGCAACTGTGGCAGGTATGGCAATGGAAAAAGGGACACCTTTCCTTGAGCTGTAGCCAAAATCCTTTATAGTAGAATGGAGATGTGCATAAATACCAGGGGTGCCCCAAAATGTACACAAGTGGGCACTTTGGTCAGCACTGCTCAAGCAGCAGTTCGCCATCATCAGAAGTGTCTGGACACTGATGGGAACCACTTTGAGTACCTCTTGTCATTGCAGAAGTCAAACGTGACTTGGATTCATCTTTTGTTATTGTTATATATTGAGTATTACAATTTTAATACAGTTTTTTTTCCTTTCTTAAAATGTGTATACATTTCTTTGGCACCCTCTGTATAATTTTTAGTTAATAACATCTCCCTAATAGGAGTGCCAACTTCAATAGCTCTTTGAATGCTTGTTTCTTGTTAATTCTCAGTAACAAACACTTTATGCAAATTGTGTTTCCCTACCAAAAAATATTGGGAAAGTTTTATATAGGAGTTGGAACTATAGAGCAAAACCCAATTGTAATTTTCAAATACTGGTTTTTAATTGTGCTCTTAGTAGCACCTGGAAAATCTTAAGTTGCATCCCTAATTGATGACGAGCAGATAAAAATACAGGTTAGTCTTAGTCTTACTTGTACAATAAAAACCATCCCAGGAAGAGACACATTGAGTTCCCTGGTACCTGACCATCATGAAAATGGGACGGGCAGTCAGGAGTGGGAGAGGTCTACACTAAAAAGCCCACGGGACAGCACAAAGGGAAACCTCCACCAGGAAATAAAGCACATTTGATCAAAAAAATACCCGTGCTAAAAATATTTGCCATCTAACACCCCTGGCCAAGTCCTTTGATACGTGCTAACTGGGGAAAAATAGAAAATAGAGGTGAGCAGAAGGAAGGGGGTGCAGCCCCCTGGACCCTCTGTGCCCTGTGCTGCCTGCCTGCCTGTAAGCAGCACAGGGATGCCCGTCGGCACAGTGCCACCCCCGCCGTGGGCCTGGGCACTGCTTGATAATGTGTAGTGACAAGTCAAGCAAAGTAAAAAGCTCCTTAAACTAGAGATTTTATTCCTTCTGTAGTATATTGAGCAGATTGGTTTTTAAATCGTTGACACTTGAACGTAATTTTTTTCTTCCTTTTTGAGGTGGCACAGTTTATCAGCCTGTCACGGTTGTGACTCCTCAAGGTCAAGTAGTGACGCAGGCGTTGTCACCTGGGACGATAAGAATCCAGAACTCGCAGGTGTGTGTGTGCCCTTCCTTTGGGAGGGTTCGGGGTGTGCGGGGGATGGGGTGTTGCACAGATGGGGACGCAGGTCGAGCCAGACTGGAGCCGTTCCCTCCACGTGAAGGTATTTGTCTCAGACTTGCTTTCATGTAGCCATCTTCAGTTAATCTGAATGTCAGGGTTTTGCGGTTTTTTACCCTGCATCACCCTTATTGTAAAAAAGTTGCAAAGTTCAGAAAAGTCTAAAGAAGCAGGAGAAAAGCCATCCGTTATCCCTCTCCTCAAGCAGCCAGTGCTGTTTGGTTTCATGTTGGGTTGCGTAGCTGTCTCCGTGCCAGGAAATGGGGGGCCACGTAGACGGGCCCCCCTTCCCCCCACCCCCGCCGTCGCAGTGGGACCGTGGCAGGCTTCTCGGACCCCACCTGGCTCCCCGCACCCCCAGTGTGCTGGCCGCACTTAGGCCTCTGCACCCTTTCTGCAGCGCCCCTGCTGAGCCAGAGCAGGGCTGGCTCTCAGGGTGTCCAGCCACGCAGCTAAGGCCCTGCCACACCCTGGGGAGACACTTGAGAGAGGGCTCCCCTCCCCCTCTCCACGCTGCCCATTGGGGCCTGTGCTCCAAGAAGGCCGGTCTGCTGTCCTCCCCACAGCCCACTGCCTGCTAGGGGACACCAGCTGCCAGAGCTGGGGACAGCATTGTGGGCAGAAGTGACAGAGTTGGAAATGCCATGACAGATCGTGACCTTGGGAAGAGCCTACCCTTTCTGCTCAGGGTCCCTAATCCTTCAGGAAAATGAGACAGACTCAGTGGTCTGCCAGACCTCCC